CCGGAAACAGTTCTTGTGTTGGTTGTATCTTAAAACAGTGATACCCATCCCTTTTGAGAACTCGCTGGATAGTTCAAGCATGCACGTTAACTTCCCCAGCAATTTGTACACTATTACAGGGTTCACTAGCTTCCACAACAGCACAAATATCAATATCCCTGTTTTGACGCTCTTTATCGACAGGTATAACACGTGGTTCATTACCATCATGACACTTTTTACAACTGTTTACACATCCCGAACTTTGAACATGTTTAATGGTATTTTTAACAGTTGTAACACTTGGTGGAGGTCTATTTTCGAAGGCAAGAATAAATAAATCAATTAATTCGCGTATCGAATGACCCTTAAAGTACCATGTTACAAGTTGCACTTTTTACTGGACTGTATACAACGTAGCAGGCATCTTATTAATTATTTATTTATTCTTTCAGAACTGAGTTTGAAATTTTTAATGTCAATGTGACAATTACGACAATTCGTACCTACTATAAAACGAATATAGAGGTGGAAACGTGTAACATGTAACAGCGATTGCCATTGTGTTTTATCGTCAATAAAACAATGTCGTGATCTGTATAAAAGATAGTTGCTATGCTTTATTCCATTACATGCCCTAGGAATTGTTAACTCTTCAGTTGTGAATAACTTGTGGCTTCACGCCGCCCTAGATAAGACTGAAAAATACTGATCATATCAACAAATGAGGTAAATTAATGTGGAAGTTACCCATTATTTATTACAAATAATAACAAAAAATGAAGCTGACACTATATCTCAACTACTTCTGTTTAACGTGATTGTGTGCAAAGTCTTTCGTTGGTTTTTTGGAATAAAGTATAGTACTAGAAAATACTTTTTGTTTATATCTTTCTTTATTGTGTTGTTCTGTATAAAACTTGATCAAAAATATATCAAAAAAATTTTTAGAAATAATGTAACTCTACAAGACTTAGGATCAAATGACTGAGTGAAACGTTTTTAACAATAAAAAGGTTTCAATATCCTAGAATACACTTTGGGAAGCCTTGTTGATTAAGTCTGAAGAAAGAGTTAATACCAAAACGATAAATTTTGTACAAGTATCTGAATATTGTGATTTTTGATGTTCAGTTGATCAAATAAATGAACATACAGTATAAAATATGTAATAGTAAGTTTGTAATTTAATCACCTATGGATAATAAATAGCTTACCAAAAATTACATTTTTTTAAAATTTGTTTTAAGGGAATTTAAGACATCTGGGCCCACACTTTTCCCTACAAAAGTGTCATATGCAGATATTTCAAGAAGTATACATCTGCATTAGAATTAAATAGTACACATAAATTTACAGAGCACTATATAATGAAATCCTAGCATAAAATTGAACGAATATGTATTTATCTACAAATATTATGTAAGCACTCTCAAAAACTGCTAGCAGAACTATTAATTGCAAGATTACTAATCTTTACAGAACCTACCACTTAGTAGGCCAAGACCTATTATTGCAACTTTTCAATTTTATATGGACCAATAAGGTATTCCCACATATATGGCACTTTTCAATCATAATTCCAATATACAAACCAGGTAAACCTAAATGTTTTTTATGGATGACAGACAAGAGGGAGTAAGACTAGGTGGAGAAGTAATCAACAATATTAGATACGCTGACGATACAGCCATTCTTGCAGAAAGTTTACAAGATCTCCAAACATTACTAAATCTAGTCAGTGAAGCAAGTTATCGGAGAGGCCTAAAAATCAACATTTCAAAGACAAAGTGGATGGCAGTTGGAAAGATCCATATAGATCAAGGTCTGCTTTCTCTTAATGGAGAAGAGATAGAAAGGGTAAATCATTTCAAATACCTTGGCAGCTGGTTAAATGTAAATTGTGACTCTGATGAAGAGATAATATCCAGGATCGAAATATCACGTAAGGCTTTTATGACCTGGAAACCAGTTTTATGCAACAGAAACCTGTCAATGAACATTCGTAAGAAGGTCCTGAAATGTTATGTGTGGTCGATCCTATTGTATGGTTGTGAGACATGGACGTTAAAAACCACAATGCTAAACAAGTTAGAAGCATTCGAAATGTGGTGCTATAGACGAATCCTAAAGATATCGTGGGTTTCGCACACTTCCAATGAAGATGTTCTTCAAATGATCAACTCAGAACGTCTGCTCATAAACATCATAAAGAGGAGAAAAACAGAATACTTCGGCCATATAATTAGAGGACCCAAATACCATTTACTTCGCCTTATAATACAAGGAAAAGTGGAAGGAAAGAGATGGATTGGTCGAAAGAAACTTTCATGGCTGCGTAATATTAGACAATGGTGTGGTTTCACAGTAGAAGAATTATTTCGCGCAGCAGCCGACAGAGAAAGGTTTCAGGAAATTGTAAGCATGATGACGGCCAACGTCTGAATACGGACACGGCACCCAAAGAAGAAGAAACCTAAATGTGAAGCGGAATCCTGTAGATCAGTCTCTCTCACGTCTTTATATATTATAACATAATATATTATAACATTAGATAACTTACTATCATTGGAATAAGAAATTCACGAAACATTTACATTCAATCAAAAATGTTTAGCCATATTCTTTGATGTAAAAGAGGCTTTGGATACAGTATGGCGCTATGATATTTTAACTACACTCCACAATTGGAAGATTCACGGTAACATGTTTGCTTTTATTTCAAACTTTCAACGGCAACGATATTTCCAAGTTCGAATCAATAACCATTTGTCTGAATCTAAATTACAGAAAAATGGAATTCCACATGATCTGGTTATTCTAGCAAGAAATAAAACATCTGCTCATAATCGTATTGCTGCAGGGCTCAAGTCGATAGAATCGTGGTCTAACAATATAGAGCTCAAGTTTTCCACCACAAAAACAAAAGCTATACATTTTTCACGAAAATCAAATCCACAAAAGCTCCCAAATCTATTTTTATACAATTATTCTCTTATAGAATATACAAAAGGAATAAAATTCCTAGGGATGTAACTGGATTCAAAATTTAGCTGAACAAGTCATATACACTCGCTAAGACTATCATCGTGCCAAGATGGACTAAACATGAAATCAGTATCACATAAAAATTAGGAAGCACCACTAAACTGATAGAAATAAAATGTTCCGTCCTTCCATGAAACTTCTGACCTTCAAAAGGACAACATCAAGTCCTAATAACACGTCTCAGATTAGGACACACTTCTACAACATATGAATATTTGTTGAAGAGAGAAGATGAACCAGTGTGTTTGTTTATGAATGTAAAGTGACAGTAAAGCACATTTTGATTGACTGTCCAATATACTCAGTTGAAAGACTATATTACCACATTCCAAAAACATCAAGAATTTCTAGGAGAATCTAAATACGTAGCTGACGTGATAGAATTCTTAAAATCTATTAAACTTTTTTAATAAAATTTAACACAATGCATCAATAATTAAAATATATTGTATATCTTATTATGTAATTAATATTTTGTATATGCCTATGTATGTCTTTATCACTTTTTTATTTCTTATGCTAATAACCCTAAAGCAAAATGGTTGAAGCAAAATAAATAAAAAAATTACTAATCTTGCTAAAGGAGCTAGTACTGTTTTTTATCGGATCAGAATCATTCCGTTGTATACCAAAAAAACCTTACAACATATTAGTCAAAGTTTGGAAAGAGGAACAAACGCCACAGGACTGGTGCACTGGAATCATATGTCCACTTAACCAAAACAGAGATCTCTTGGAATGTAAATATTATATGGGTAGGTATAACTCTTTTGAAGAAAATATTCTCCAACACCCTATACAACCGTTTAAGTATGCACTGGAAGAATTCCTTGGTGAATACCAAAGAGGTTTTAAGCCAGGTAGGTCAGCAATTGAACAGATTTTTGCGATACGTCAAATCTTAGAAAAAAAGAGAGAATTTAGTATTGATAATTTTCATCTTCTTGTGGGCTTTCAGTCAGCTTACGATAGCGTCCTGAGATGTAAATTATATGAAGCCATGAATAAATTTAATATTCCCCATAAATTAATAAGACTTGTAAAAACAACTATAAAGTGATCTGCAGAGTGCAGGGAGATGCGCTGACGTGTCTTCTTTTTAATATTGCGTAAGAAAAGAGTATATGAGATGTACGATAAGGGAACAATATGACAGATCTGACGAAGTAAAGCTAAGGATACTGCTAGCGAACATATGCTATTTTGTGGTAAAGAAGCAGCTGAAAGTAGAAATTTAAACCAAAAACCCAAACTAACAATATATGGAACGATCATCCTACCAGTGCTGACAAGTGGCTCAGAAAAATAGATAAAATAGAACATCTCCAAAACGATTATAAGAAGAATAATGGACGCAATCAGTGAGAATAATATTTGGAGAAGTCGATATAATTTCGATGTGTATGAAGAGTCTAAAGAAATAATGGTGTAATAGATATATTATAGACGAAGATCGGCTCAGTAAACTGGCAACAGTTGGTGATAAAAAGAAACAACTGGGGAGTTCTAGACTTAATTAGGACTGTAGTACGACCGATGATGATACCAAAAAGACTTTTGAAATGTACAATACGCCTACTGCGACCAGCCTTTCTGTTTGGTGGCGTGAAAATTAAAGATGGTATTTCAAAAATCTCATACTTCTATAATAGATATGTAACATTTCTGGTATTTGCAGAAACGTTGAGATCGTCACATTTCAAATACTTACATTAACTACAATATCATAGAAAATTAAGCTAAATGTTGAATATTATGTATTACAACAACTAATTGCACAATTTCACATCTAAAATTGAAGTCCTGAATGAACAATAATGTCCTAAAAGTAAAATTTAATGTTTAATTTTTTTATTTCAAATTTGCCAGTCCTGTCCTGATTTTTGTTTGCATCTTAAGAATTTCTTACCAATGACTTTGACAGTTAATTTCCTTTATTCCTCTTGTTGGTAACACTGCTTCTGCTGTCACTATTCAAGATGGCGAAAGCCAGCTTGCAGTCGTAGAGTTCAATGAATTTTTTAATTTTTTACAATTTTAATTTTATTTTAGATAAACAAAATCTGTCAAATTTTAATGTCGTGATATTAAGTTAGTGTCCAAGCATTTGAAGTGTTAATTAACAAAATAGCCTACTCTAATTAGAAAATCGACCCAAAAAGAATAAAACTAAAAAATATTTACCTGTCAAAATTTAAGAATTTGAAAATACCTCTATTCCTAGAATTGCTCAGACACACAGGTAAATTTTGTAGAAACTAATAGTATTACATATCAGAAGAAGCAGACTTCTTCGTCAAACAAAAATAATGGAAGCTATGCAATATGAAATGGCACGCAATATGACTTTATTATTCTTTTTTGAACGATTGTTGGACAAAGGAGAGCCTAGGACCCTTCACGATTTAAGTTGCCAATTCGGCTCCAAGGGTTTTACAAAAGAGATGAGACAAATTGCTGGTGGTAGTCAAAGTGGGCTCAAGAAATTTTTGACACAGTACCCTTCCTTATTTTGTATGGATGGTGATTATGTTACTGTTAACACTTTCCAAACTTGTAGCAGCAGAGATAGCTCAGGTAAGATTTTCTGCATTTCTATTTTGTTAGTTGCTAAACTAATCTTTCATATAGTTATTTGTCACCTGTTGCTAATAATGATTATTCATCAATTGTCATAAGACACCTGCACATGTTTTACATAAGAAATGTTTTATTTATGGTAAAACAGTATATGTAGAAAATTTGGAACATCTTTAAAATTATGTTAAGTCTGTAATCATGCCAGATACACAAAAGTGCAGAAATTTTTAGAAATAACACTAAAAGAAGTATAATATGTCTTTCTAACTAGGTTTATACCTATGGAGCTGTAGTTTTGAACTAGAGATTGTAAATCATGTGTTGAAGTCCCCAAAGTCTAATCAAATTCCAAGAATTAGAAAAAAAACATAATTGTTGTATAAAATATTTCTGTTCTAATTTCTGTATTTACAAAACAATACTAAGAAAAAGACTCATGTAATAAGATTACTGGTTCAAATTAAGATTTATGTATAGTCAAAATTGAGAACAAATGAGTTTAAAATAATATTACGATGATGAAATATAAGAGTAACAATTGTATATTTAAGAACATGTTCATGGAAAAACTTTTGTAGGGATAAAACATGTTAAAGCATAAAACAAAGAAAACTGATATACACTACGATTATAACCACTCTAGAAAACATATCATGCAATTCTGTGTACCATGCAATTTCTTTAAATATTTTGCATCAGACACATACACAGATTTTTAAAAATCATCAATGTGCAGTAAATACACATTTGTGGAAAAACAATTGCTTTGCGTGTAATTTCGAAATTTTAAACTATATAAATCCAAAATATTCTAAATATATCCACAAATTACTTATAAATGCAAACATATTGAAATAATTCTATTGACAAAATATACTTAGTGATATTGAATCTTTTGGATCAAGTTTGTTAATAAATCCTATGACATTTAATAAAACAGCCATTTTCGCAATATAGGTTTTAATCCTCTAGCTCCTCGTTACTGTCAAATTTCATGCCAATCATTGTACTAAACAAAAACTGCCAAAAGATGTATTAAAAATGTTATTTTCATTTATAGCCATAGTCACTGGTATAAAATATTATCTTTTTTTTCTTGTCTTGAAAAAAAGTATAACAAAACTATTCTAAATTGCTTCTAACTCTTCTAAATCTCATGTTTTATTAATCTTATCACATTATTAAACTTCTCTGTAAATATTTGTTATAACTGAAAATAAGTCTTTTAGACTGTACTGCTTGATCCAATCTTGTAGTTATATATGCTTGAGTTATATATGCCCTCACAATTAATGCTTGGGGTCAGAAATCAACAGAAGATGAAACTTTTTATATTTTGAGTATTTTAAATATCTGAAATTGCAAAATAAAGTGACTAATATCAACTAATGGTGTCAGTAAGTATCTTCCTTTTTACAAATAAAACAATTGGACTTGCCTTTGCTGGAATTAAAGTTATGAACAGAAGACAGAAAAAATAAGTTTTTTTTCTTCTACAAATGCTTAATGGGCAAAATTTTAAAGATATCTTTAATTAAATGCCTCCCTGAACAGCAAGTGCACTGTTGAAGAGCAACATGTTTTTGGCAGAGTAGTTTTCAGGGTTTTATTATCAAACAAATTTTCTTTTGATATCATGAAATATTCTGATATTGTATTTAATAATATAACATTTAATATCTATCACATAACTTGTGAGAACATATTGATAATTTAAATGACAAAATTGAAAAGTGGTGTTTATAATAATAATATTTTACAAACAGATTAAATAAATGTAAACATTTATGTTTTAAACATAAAATGGAGCTCATTTAAAAATATATGGACTGGTTTACATATGGCGATACATAATTTAAGATACATAATAATTTGCAATGTGAATAACAATTTCGTACATTTACTAAGAGGTCATTTTCTATCTAGAAAGGTAATTTATGCTAGATAACAATTTTTGATGATCTACAATATGCACAAGAGATAAGAGTTTGATTGTATAGTATGATTCAACAAGTTATCTATCCCAAAAAAGCATATCAGAAAGAAGCAGAAAGCTGGACAAAAGTTAAATGAAATATGTCAGACTCTGATGGGGAAGTTTTTGTTAAAAGAAAGATAAACTAAAATAAATTGTTCCCAGTGCAGAACACTTGCATGATTTTACACAGAAATGAAGGAAAAAGTTAAAAAAAGGAAAAAGTTCAATTCAAATACATGCCAACTAAGACCCAACAAGCATATTTATTACAGTTATAAGACAATCAGAAAGTAAACACACTTCTTTATAAGAGTCCAAAGAAAGAAGCTAAAGAAACTTACAGATCTGAAATATATAGAAAATGATATGTTGATTAATAGAAGCTATATTTTGTTCCTCTTAGAGGCTCACATAATCTCTTTACCACTTCCGATGGAAAATTACTTACAACAAAAAAACTTGGTGGTTGTAGCCCCAAATACGGCTCCAAATTGAAGGTATAAAAGGTCCTGGTGCAAAAATTTTTAATCCATATTTATTTGCTTTATCAGGTATATATGTACTGTTTAAAACTGCATCAACCTTTAAATGACTCCAATTTTTCATATATTGTGCCATATTCAAACGATGTGTAATTGTTTTGGCACTTAAAAGTAAAATTTCAAAATCTCTCATATGGGACAAAATTTATCTAATATTTTGGTTCCCCACGTAAATCTAAATTATCTAAATTCTCACCTAAGGTTTAGTTCCCCACTAAACCTTAGGTGTTTTAGTAAAAATTTAAATCTGTACATGGACATTTTTAATCGAAACATCTCAACTAGTGTACCACCTTTATTCCAAAGTTTATCTGTGTTTAAATTGCCACTTTTCAATACACCCACCAGATAGAGTAATCGAATCATCATCATCAGTGGCATTACAGCTCGTTATGAGCCAAAGTCTTCTTCAGAACAATCTTACATTCGCCCCTGTCCCTGGCAACTCTTCTCCATGCTTTAACTCCAATGGATTTTAGATCATCCTCTATGTTATCTTGATACCTAAGTTTTGGTCTTCCTTATATATAATTCATAGATTTTGTGCTCTGGCCCTTCTTAGCGTTTGATATACGAGCCCTGAGTTTTGTTCTTACAAGGTAGTGGTTAAGAGTCTATATTAACACCTCTACATGCTCTTACATCTAGTATGTCCGAAAAATGTCGACTATTAATTAGTACATGGTCAATTTGGTTTTTTTTGGCCGACTTTAGCGTTAAAATCACCAATAATTGCCTTATTTCGTTTGCCACAAAAAATACGTCCGGCTGATTGTTTTGAAGTTGTTTCTGAACAGAAGAATTTTTACAGGGGCTGGGGGGTGTTAACCCACTGCCCAACCCCCAATTCACCCGCTCTTGTCAGTTGTCGAGCCAACCTTCTACCCGGGTTGGATGTTGGATACCGGATCTCCAGTTGGTTTGCTCGGTTTAACAGGGGACACCAACGTGAAGGTGAGAGTCGGATTTGAGTAGATGAGGCCAAGTGGAGTAAACTGGAATCAACTGAATATTTTCGCATCCTATTCCTTTGTCACCCAGAGTAATCCAATAGAAACACGAATTTATAAAACATCCGTTTCTTTTACGTTCCTCTCTTGATTTCCACATTATCTAGTTCACCTTTTAAATCCTTGGCAACTTCTTTAGCACATGGCAAATGCGTAATTAAGTTTTCTGAACGTGTTCTAACATTTCTTGGAGGAATATGTTTCATCCATTTAGTAGCTGTGTCTTTACCAGGAAAGAAAGCCCAGCAGAAACCATCATTTCAGCACCTTCCTTACTAGAAATTTCTTAATCTGTATCACTATTTTGATCCATTTGTTCCTCCACCGTCGGTCGTTTCGTAGGCATTCGTCCATTAGACATTGCAAAAGTTCCTGTTCTGCCTCATACGCATAGGTACATTTTAAAATACACAATGACTGATAAACATTATAGTAATCACTAATACATTTACGTCAAAGAACAGGATGAGACTGAAATTTGGTGTGAAGAAATTAATTAACATTTCTGAGAGGTACATGGGCATAGAACAAAAGGGTGAGTAGCTTTAAAAAAAACTTGAGAAGTTTACATCAGTGTGGAGATTTTTGTTCGCGCGCCAGCCGTGGAAGGTTAATATCAATCAATCAATCATAAAGTTGGTACAGCCCTTAAAGGGTCTCAACCTAGTCTGCGCCATTCTGTTCTGTACCTTGCTTCTGTTTTCCAGTTGGCTGCACCGATCTTCTCAGCATTCTGTATTACGCCGTCTATTCACCTTAGCTTTGGCTTGCCATGTTTTCTTATTTCCACGGGCTGCGCTGTGAAAATCCTTTTATACCCGGTTCGCTATTCCCAGTCCGAACTGTCTAGTGATTTTAGTTTTTTTTTCGAAGTTAGTAACTTTTTGACAGACTCGAAGTGGCTGGAAAATACTATACAACCAAGCATACGTGCTCTTAGTCAATATTAATGTAAACAAAAGTAAATAAAATAGAACTTTGCCGACAATCAATATTTATTTATTTACACTGTATAATGTATTGATAACAAATAATAAAATTATTTATTGTACAAAATAAAAAAGTGGGAATAAATTCTACAAAATTAAGAAGTCAAAGTGAGGTTAAATAAGAATAAGACACAGCAAGTTCCTTATGTATTTACAACATTTACATAATTCGATAAATACATTTTAATGATCAACTTACCTCAACAGGGTTTTCATTCGGTAAAAAAATGGTAGGCATTTTGAATAAACCTTTGTGCAGTTGTATTACCTTGTAATCTAGGAACAGCATCCTTACTAATCTAAAAATATTAACTTTAAAAAAAACTTTTTAAAAAACATTTTATCATATTTATTAAGAAAAACTTACCAACGCATTAGCTGATGGAACAAATGGAAAACTTTGACTATCCATAATAATAAAATTTAAAATATAACTAACTAATTAACTGAATAGAACTAACAAAAGAATTAAACAAAG